TTTAGAATTTGTATACATGAAGCCAGGTGTCCCATAAGAAAGCGTGTTAGGACCCGCCATTATGTATACATCATTCACTGTAGATAACAAAGATAGAACAACTATTACAACTATTGCCGATGTTACCGCAATATTGTCAACTGATGCAGACCCAGCATATGCATCCCATCATCTACAAGAAAACCTGAACTTTATAGAGTAATGGCTATAAAATGGAGAATAAAAGTTAATTAATCGAAATCAGTGCATATTGCCTTTATCATTAGATCAAGTTAAATATCTGATTAAGCACATAGGTAGAATTTTGACCTGGGTATATCACATTCAAGCAAAAAGAGATGAATTCGAAATTAAGTTTTGGAAACTCTACTGGCTATTACGGGAAGACTCCCCAATTTTGAAAGAAAACAAACTGCTGATGTATATTTAATAAAAAATATTTCCCACATGTCGACTTTACGATTAAAGCCAAATTTTGATATTTTCTCAATTAGATTTATTTAAATTTTAGATTTTATACTTTCGTTAGGACACCGTTTAGTAAATAAAATGGACTCTAAATAATAGAAATGATGAAGCTACAATAGGGGATATTCATAAAAAAATTAAGTTTAAAATTACTTATTTATTTGAACTATTTTATAGTTTATTATATTTATCTGAAACAAGAAAAAAAGAGTCTTTAAGATTTACTCAATAAATTTACAAATATATATTTTTGTTTTCTTTACGAAAACAAATTATAGGACAAGCACAAAGACTTAAGTTAATAACTCAGTTGAAATCCCATGAAAATGTGTAAATAATATAAATATCTATATATAAACATCTTAAATATTAATATTTGTTTATTGAAAAATTTATTAATCAAAACTTTTCAGTCATCGTCTATATATAAGAAACCTTGTTGCATGTCACAACTCACTTTTCTCATTCGCATAACCCAAATATACAAACGTAAAGCGAGTCATGCAAAATACGAGATATCGTATTTTACATATAGACATTTTTTAAGGAACGAACGTCCTATTTCTGTTTAGTGTGTATTTATAGATCCCATTAATAAATTCGATTAAAGTCCGGCATTGAACTTAGGCACGATATTTTTATTTTAGATGGGGCTTGGGGAAAAAAGAGTTATATATCATTGTCCTTGTGAACCCTGAGGTTACGCACGCAGCATTAATAAGTCCAAATGGCATTTTGCTTCAGTTGAGAAAAGATATTTTTAGTGCAGCTCCGCACGGAAAGACCCAAATATAACAAGAGTTTTATTACAAAAAATATTGACCTTTCTTGCGTAACTAATTATGTAAATATTATGTTTTTATCTTTTTTTTATTACCATTTTCTTAAACAAAAAAAAACATTATTGATTAGAATAATTGCGTGAGACTTAGTATATAATATTTATCTATCCGTTTTCTTTGTATTATTTCAGCTGGTAACAAAAGCATATTTCAATATCTCAGTATTTTTACCAGAAATAATTGCTAAAATATAACAAAAAACACTGTTTTATTAGCTTTTTCTTGTATACGCTTTTATTTCGTCTAATTATATATTTTTTAGATTACTTAACAGAAAAACATTAATAATTGAAAGACAATAAACTCTGGAAGAATAAACAAGTTCTTCACTTTTTTTATGTTTAAGAAATTATTTGCATTATTTATAATTAATTTTATGAATCTATGAAGAGAAAACAAAAATAAATAATCGATTTGTTAGTAACCGTATTATACTGTCGTATTTCCATGACACGTGCAGATATTGATATCTGCGAAATAAAAGTAATTTGAGTATACATGTGTTCGCGTTCTGCAGCTTCGTGTCCTTAAGACAGGGAAGGACACGGACAATATATTATTTTTTCTGATAGGTTTAAATTTAGCTATTGACAATACCTGTAAAAAAACATATGTTTGTTATAATATTTATAGAATATCCTATAAATCAACTTGCTTTGTAATTATCTACAGTTCAGAACATATTGGTTTCTTATATAAGAAGCTATTATCTTCAATGAATGATAATATCATCTTTTTGAACAAAAGCAAAAATAAAACAAAAATATATTATCCAAGTATTCAACTATTATTGGATTAAGTCATTATAAAAAGATATTTTTTTTACAAAACATATATTTTATATGAACAATAAGTAAATTTGTTGACAGAAATGTCATGAAGATGGGGAACTCAACATTATCTATTGGTAAAGGTCTGATTTCAGACCTAATTGCTTTCTCTTTGTCTATGTTTCTTCCAAGTATCCAGATGCATGCCAAGATATTTTACATGATCCTCCGGCAGTAAAACTTAATTAGAGTTACTGGTGGATACGTTTTCTGTCTCATTGTGAAGATGTCGATTTCGTTTCATTGAATTTAATTCATCATTCTTTGAGCAACTTCTGGTTTACATGAAGAGATATAAGCAAAACCGGACTAATCGAGTAGCTTTAAAAAGCATAAAATTAAAAAGAAAAAAAAGGTACTTGAATGTGTTATTTAAGTATAAAAATATTTTAGTTCAGTATTTATTTATTTTGCTCAATTGAAATTAACTTTGTTTTGAAATTTTCAAACCGCACTATAGTGAATATGTACTAATAGAAGCCTGCTATGATTCATCGTAATAAAATTTATAAATAAACTTTTATTTAGATTTTTTTTATGAGCAAATTAATAATTTAAATTATTTTCTTTATTAATTTTATACTGAATTTTTCTTGCGTCCATTCGGATCAACGGGTTATTGATCAAAGTACTTGTATCAAACATTAATAATAATTTATTTACAGATTTTTAATTCGAAAAATGATATAAATCGACCAATTTGTCATTATTTAAGAGCATTATCCTACTATAATTACGAAGGGTAATTGAGTTGTGGGTCCCGAGATCATCATCAATCTTGGATTTGTCAATATAGTTAATGATCCACAGATGTTGATAAATTTTCAAATCTCCCTCAAAATTAACTTTCAAGTATTCATACCTTTAATACAAGAAATAAAATTAATTTACAAAGTTTTATAAGAAAAAATGATAATAAATTATATAAACAAATTCAATATAATTCGTATTTATATTATTTATAAATAACTACGAACTCCCGAACTTTCGAACAAATTTCTAAAAGCTCTAACTTGTTACAACGAGATATATAGTGTTAAAAAAATAACTGTCCAAACTAAAATTAATAAAATATAATATTTTTGTATTACTTTTTTTTGCATTTGTTTCTTTTGAGGTTTTTATTAAATAATTGTGATATCTTCATTGAAAAGTTACTGGTTAATTTGTAAGTAAGTATATTGTTTATTTTAGTCTATTTTTCAAATTTATGCAGTCAGTAATTTAACATATATATGTTATTTAGATTTTTTTAATTCCCCCGACTTACGAACAACCCTTTGGAACGGAACTAGTTCGTAAGTCGGGGATACCTGTATTTGATTATGTAGATATTTAAAATATAGCCCTCAAGCTAGATGTAATTATTTATATAAAGAATCATTGTTTATACTTTCTATAAATATAAATAATAATTACAATCATATATACAAACAAAAATAGTATAACATATTTTTGAAATGTATTAATCTATTGACCATTGATTTTCCGCCCGATAAATAATATATTTTACAATAATAAACACAATTTATTTTATAACAAGAGTGCTAATATATTTCATAATTGTTTTTCATTTTTATTTGTATAAATTTTCTTTAATAAATAAATAATTAAATATAATAAAACAATTATATTTATAGTTGTGTTGAGATTATGTAACTCTAAACATATAACAAAAATAATATCAAAATAGTTTGTTTTATTTTTTCTCTAAATACAGATTTTGACATTCATAATTCATAGGATGAAGTTTACATTTAACATTTTTCTTCTATCATAAAACTACAAGTTTAGTGTTTTCGCTGTTTAGTATCTTACTATTGCATAAATATGTCTGTTATTATGGCGATTCGCATGAAGCTAAAATTATAATAATATTTAACATTCGGTTATTTTGCACAAATATAATCATTATAATTTATCTCTCACATATTTCAGAAGATATGTCGATATAAAAAAAATATATACAGTTATGAAGAGGGTTTCCAATAGGTTAGAATTTATTATGTTAGGAACATATGAAGAGGGTTTTTTTCAAAACAATAATTTTTACCAACTTTTCCTCACATTATGAACACTTCTAACTCACCTGTAATTTTATATAATGAAAAACTATCTTGTGCGGGCACGAATAGATGACAGTCATTGTAAATAGCCAAAAGGCATCATTTTTTTTATGGAATACAGAAAAAAAAAA